ACCGACCAACAAGAAGCCTATTTTGTATAGAACTTTATTCAATAATACATCCTTAAGAGTACAGTAGTGCAGGAATAATAAAATGAAAGCGATCGCAGAGAATTTTAAGTCGGTTCTTGGCTAATTAACTTTTGAAGATCGAGAAATAATGAAAAAAAAACAATTGTATTACAAAGTGTGAACGGATTTTATTTTATTAATGAATCTTTTGTATGTTACTTTGCCTGTCAACTGAGAAAACATTGATATATAAATTTTTCCTAACAGATATAGATTGATTCCTTGAACTCCCACGGGGACTTAAACAGACCTTCAAGATTCGCCGCTTCCTTATTTTGTTAGAATTAGACATTTAGGGTGAATATTTGAGGTTTACTTTTAGCGGTTTTCATCACGAACTGATATAATTTATAAGACAAAAACACTTTTTGGCCACAGAGACGAATAAATTTCATAGGAAAATCCAAGAAGCTCAGAATTAATTCAATTGGCTCGTATAAAGAGCATAGTGAATACATATTATTGTTTGTCTCAGGAATAAGGGTTTAGTGTTAGAATTTGGACAGAATGTTGACTTTCTTATTACTTACACTCTACATAGAAATAACTGGGCATCTGATAAGCAAAAATCTATAAATCATTATCTCGATTCTGATCGTCTATACTTTTAATTTTAGTTTTTTTTTACTAGTTCGAATTTTATATTGGTAACAAGCGCATATATATATATATATATATATATATATATATATATATAGAGAGAGAGAGAGAGAGAGAGAGAGGGAGGGAGAGCAGATAGCATGCTTTTATTTGAAAATTAATTTCAAATTAACAAGTACAGTTTATCGTTACTTTTATCACTTTTTTTCAATTCCATTTCATAAAATGTGACTGACTAAATGAATTTTATGCGTTATGAATTACGTTGATGAAAATGATACTCATATTGTTATTGTTCCGACTGGAATTGAACATTTAATTTATTAACTAAGACTAATCTATAAATAAGTATCATATAATTACGTGATGTTACTAATTGTCTCGCGGATACTGAAAAATTATTGATAAGTGATTCATACAACTCTAGCCAATCATCACACTTGGTAGAATTCCAGAAATCAATGTATTTACACATTACGTTGATCTGATTGGTCAAAATTCGAGTAAATCTTTTACAATTTTTGGGGGTTCAAAAATCATTTGACAACAAGTAGATAATCATTGGATTATGCATCTTGTATATGTCATCAGTAATGTTTCGACTATACGCTCACCATGATTTATAAAGTGGTATGATATGATAAGTCGGATACGAGTGCAATATCACAAAGAATAATAATTCATCACATTTAATAACTATTATTGACAGGTTTAGTGAAAATTAGTTTAATCTGTAAATGATTTGCATGACTAATACCCATATCACGATAAAATAGTTGCTCAGTACTGCATGTTTTCGAGTAGTTGCTTAGTTATAAATGCCTCATGATTTAAATTTAACATAGTATTTTAAAGAAATTGATAAGTGCTAAAGCGATATTCTTCTTACTTTGATTATGTTTACATATCAGGAAACTGTATGGGTGCTGAGTGTGATTATGTCGCTCTATCTCTCCATACATATATGCCTAAAAGTATCAACGCCCAAAATTGCATTGTCACTGAGTAATTATACCCACGGACAAATGCAAATGAATTATAATCTTTGAGCACTCAGTCAACGTTGGTTACTTTAGAAATAAAATTAATTGTCAGATACGAAATTAAATCTGTTAGTTAATATTAAGTGAACTGGAACATAGAACGAGCCACTTAATTGTTATTTGACCACTATGTATATAAAAAATGACAGAACAATTTCATTGAAAAAAAACCATGTTATAAGAAAGTAAGGAAATATTACGTAAGTATTGAATTTTGGTGTACTATCAGGTCTATTATTGATTATAAATCGATTGATTTATAAATGATATTAAAATATATAAGTCAATTCACCGGTTACCTCAACGAGTTTGTAATTTGGCCAAAGTTCATAAATAAATAAATTTCAGTAAATAGTTCGTTAACAAAATATTAAAACAAATGAAAACTTCACTAATAAATTATTTATCAAATATCATGGGTAAATACTGTGAATGTAAGTGTTGAAACAGTAAAAAAGGTCGATAAAGTTGATACGAATAAATGCGAGAGGGTTCCTTACACTATTCCTACCTTAGACCACTTCAAATCTTGTGGTACTCTTGTCACCTACAGATCAATAAGTAGGAATCTAATAATTCCTTGATTAATAAAGCTAAACAATGTCCATATGTGAAAAATTTATCCACTCATTCTACTGGATTATATTTGACTATTATTTTAAATTGGTTAAAGTTGGATCTCTAAATCGAAAAACAAGTTACAATTGTCAGTGATTGTTTGATCTACATAGAAATGATCAAAGATGTCCTACAATTTCTTAACTTCATTGAGTTTTATTTTCGTTTCCTTTGTAGTGAAAGCACACTGTATACGCGTTTCAAAATGAAATATTTGTGGAAAAGCATATTTCCTAAAGTTTAGGAAACTTTAGAGAGGATATCTTTCAACATGATGTGTTATTCAGTTGCACTCGGAAGTAATGATCATTTTGCGAAGAAAACCAATGTATTTTACTGAGTAATTAGGCTTTGTCTGTTTTGTGCGATAACCATTTCTCATATGCAACATTCATCTATCACTAGATTATGTTCACCCCTTCGCAGAATAGTTAAGAATTTATTAGCCTTCGATCACAATTGACTGCTTCTAAAAGAGACATACTGTGGTGTATGCTATTCATGTCGACAGAATTCATAGTGTGTAGTATCAATTAGACGTGGAATACCTAGCAGCAGAAGAGTAACGAAATGAAATCGAAGGGAAAATGAATGTAAACAGGCAATAATTGTAATAGTAATGAAGGAACGATGACGTTTGAGACAATTGATGAAGAATTTGTAAACGAAGTATTTAACGCATGGTTTTTCACGTTTTACGAAAGAACTCTGTAATTTTGCATTGAATAATAGACTGGTTGTCCCCAAATTAGTTCTCTTCCATTACGATACTACACTGAAACGCAATACTACATCGACGAACACATGCTGTTTTTTATTAAGCAAACATGTCAGTATTTACAAAATTTTGAAATATCTAGTTAGTTCCAAGCATACTTCCTCATTAATAATAACCAACATGAAGTTAGTATAAGAATCTGTTGAGAGTTTTTGAATAACAGTTACAATTTCATTACTAATGAGTGGTAACTGGAATGATGCCCGTTTGAATCGCATGAGAAATGAAAGCTCACATAGTATACCTTTCTGACCACTCCAGATTATTAACAAATCAAGATTCAGTGCAATATGTCGATTACCTTCAGCGATTAATTAATTACACATAGTTCCGGGGATCTGATTTTACCTAGAGTTCATAGTGATGAATAAAATTTTATCACCACCGTGAATGCGACGATATTCCATCGATTCAATTAGTGGACATTTCCGTAGTTTTCTTTTTGAATGAGTACCTAATACATGAAATAATTTCTCATTCAGTTAAATTCAACTCTCATTCGGGATGCTGTAACCAATCGAGTCAGTTTTTCATCAGTGGTATTCAAAGATGGTTGCAGAATGTCAAGAATTAGTTGAAGTTAGACACATAGACTACTGGACACCAATTTGTTGGTCTACAGGATAGGTGATCGTCGCGAAACTGAAAAACCTTCGGTTTTGTTTTCGATGAGGTTATGACTATACACAGCTGGACGAAACGGCTGTTCAGTACCTACTGATTTTCAGTGATCCTCTGATTAAAATGAATTCGTAATATAAACGATAAAATGTAGTAATTGAATAGGTTAAATAATTCAGCTCGTTTATCTTTGTTAAACTGTTTAATCATTATCATTAACGTCTGTCTAACTCATTCATTCACCTTAACATTAATATTATCATTAAAAAATAGACTTACCATATATTTATGCCTTATTGAACCTTATTGACTAGATTAACACAACTTTTGAGTTTCAACATTAATTCATACTATAAATAAATAAATAATATATTGGTAATTAATTTTGATTTGGTTAATTATTCTCTGAAGAAGTGGCTTACACTGAGTCACGAAACGTCAGAAAACCTAATTTTTCTACTCATTGGGATATTAAAAATATATTAATCTCTTTATAACAATCTAACCAATACTCATTGTATTCGAAATGATCAAATCAGACCTTGGAAACGTTACTACTAACTTATATTGTTTTAAAAGTGTTTAGTCTTCACTATCACCAACATCATCATCATCATCATCATCATCATCATCATCATCATCATCATCATCATCATCATCATCATCATCATCATCATCATCATCATCATCATCATCATCATCATCATCATCATCATCATCATCATCATCATCATCATCATCATCATCATCATCATCATCATCATCATCATCATCATCATCATCATCATCATCATCATCATCATCATCATCATCATCATCATCATCATCATCATCATCATCATCATCATCATCATCATCATCATCATCATCATCATCATCATCATCATCATCATCATCATCATCATCATCATCATCATCATCATCATCATCATCATCATCATCATCATCATCATCATCATCATCATCATCATCATCATCATCATCATCATCATCATCATAGTTATACTGCAATGATTTCAATGGTAGATCATTTTCTCTAACTAATTTCGCAACTGTACTTTTAAAATGAAATATATATATCTCACTTATCGACTAACCAATCATGCTTTAGTGTGGGTGTATATATAAATATATATTTATTATATATTCTCATAAATAAAATTAAATTATAATTGAGATACAAGGTCAATTAAAAATTAGTAAATAGACTGCATTCAAATATAATTAAGTAATTTATTGAATTGAAAAAAGATAAAAATTAAAAAAATAATAAAAACGAATAATAATGTGGAATATGTCAACAAACACAACAGTAATAAGTGAGTAGTATATTTTTTTAAAGAAAAAAAGATACTCAATTGTTTATTTATTTATTTCTTTTTTGAATTCTGCAAGCTTATCTAATGATGTCTACAGGAAGGTTGTCATTTCTACAGAGGTGTTTATTTTGATTTAATAATCTGTTATTTCATTACTGAACAGTTACAGGTTTGAAGTAAACTTTTGAAAAACAATTTAATATCGATAATAATAGTTTAGTGAATTTTTGTTTTGTTAATGATGTAGGGAAACATGTAATGAAGATTGTTGTGCTACATTTTATGATTGTTATAGTTTATTGAATCAGTAATTCAATGAAGGATATTAATTGTAAACTGGTTGGTCAGTAAGTAATGGCTAATACTGTGTTGGTTATTCGAGTTTCAATACAAGAGAAATATTAGTTTTCTTCAATAATCCAGATATTTTTTGTTACTAAGTGACAAATTGACATAAAATCTAGGTTCAGAGTTGTCTAATAATTACCAGCACTCACTCAAAGAATCACCTTTTAAAACAATGATATATGTACATATTTTGAAAACAATGTATGGTTTTCTAGAGAGTTGATGACAAGTGGAAGATGATTACGTTTCATTGAATTACTGGTATATATTTTCCGGGTTATTCCTTTAAAACTGCAGTGATATTAAGAGACATATGATGAAAACCGTCAGATAAAAATACTACTACTACTGCAAACAGGTTTACTCTTAACATTTGGATGATTTATTTCAACTATTATACAATTTATCCATGATGAATATATATGATCGGTTATTAAATATGTGTTGCCGCGATATTCAGATGCTTTATGCTCTAACAATGGAGCATTTTTAATTGATCTACTACAATTTATACTCGTCGAATGGTTATGTCATAAAATGTTTAGTTTATATGTAATAAAACTATTTACCTGCATAATATTTACTTTCAGGAGAAAATAATAATTTTAATTCATTTATGTGTTGGTTGTTTGAATCTTCTCATTGACTTTTAGGACAGCGATTGATAGTTAGTGGTTATCTGAACTCAGTACCTAAGTGGATCCCGGGATGGCGTTTGAAGTGAATGGTACTGGTTTCGATTCCCACAGTGAACATCGACACTGGAATGTAGGTACTCCCAGCCGACGAGTTCCACGTGGGACGAAACTCCCATCCTGGATTCCACTGATAGCCATCACCCATCTCTGCCTAAAACAAAATAATGATTGATTGTATGAACGAGATGTTGTGGCTTTGTTTAGTGTGTTAATTGCAACTTATTTTAAGTAGATGCAGCCATGGAGACACTTGTAAAACATCTTATTGTCGATTTTAAAATTGAATGAATTTTTTGGATTCCTAACAGTGAATTTTAAAGTTAATGTAGTTTAATCTCTCAAACCTATTCATTTTTACAATTAGAAGAAAAATGATCACATTTTTTTGCATAAGATTTGCTATCGTTCAAATATAATTTTAGAATATTAAAGATTCCCATTGTGAAACTTAGAACAACACATATAAGTGAACAATTGTTTTCAACTAGGCTGTCATCAGGCTTTATTCTAATATACATGAATATACATGTTAATTTTTATTTATAATCAATCTCATATTGAGTAGGCCTCAGCTCTAGATAAATTATTTTGAAAAAGTCAACTAAACTAACTTAAATAAGAATATATTATACTTTGTTTCATGTTATATGGTTGAAGAAAGAATTTCATGGTTATCATGGATTTAAACTCTATGTAATCTACCATTTCTCATTAAAAAAGTGTTTACAATATTGATAGTACTTGTTTTTATGAAGATATTTGAACTGTCACATTCATTCAAGACTGTTGAACTTATTGCTGCTGGCATTAATTAGTATGCTATTGATGTTATTCTGTTACTGAAGAGTTTTTGAGTGTATAGTTCACAGTGGTGATAAGGTGGTATCAGTTTAATAAATTAATGAATTCGAACTCGTCTGAATAAAATTTTAAAAACCTCCATTCAAAAACTTATTTAACCTTTAACTGAGACTATAGTTTAATGTGTTTGGGCAATAATTATGAATATAGAGGTTTGTGGAGATTGTATTATTTTAACAGTGAAATTCACTGGTCAATCTTAGCCAGACCATCATAGAACTTTTCAGCAGTGTGTATGCACGACTCTACATGTGGGATGTAAAGACGAAACGACCGTCCAATGTTTCCAGGTTTTCAAAGGTGGTCTAGCTAAGATCAACTTGTGAATTCAACAATTATGAAGTATGAAGTAAAGATTTTCTTTTTTTTAAAAAATTCTTTAATTGGCACTTTTCGTCAACGAAATTCTTAGAGTTTTTTTTAAAAAAACTGCTTAACATTTAAACAACTGTTCATTTGTTTATACCCTACAGTTTAATAAACAAAAGTTGATATTATGTTAAGAAAAAATCTTTATGTACAATTAAAAATGCATGAATCAAACGTGTAGGTGCGTGAATTAAACTCTATTTTTAAATTAGAACTTGACGTAAAGTTTGTTTGAATAAATTCAATCATGATGATTCACTATTTATATATTTATGCCAACAGATCTCTATATCAAACACATATCTTTTATTGGGGGCTCAAAAATTATTTGATTCACAATTGAAACACCAACTTACTAAAGCATTTAATATAGAACTGGTTGAAATGTCTACATAAATCATTCTAGTATAAATTTAGTTGTTGGGGGTGCTAATTGGTTGGAAATGTTTGACACTGAGCCTTGGAAGGAATTTCAAACTTGTCGGCTTTCATCAATCGGGGTACCTGAAATACTAAGAGAGTCGACACTCCCTGTGAATTTATATACTATCCTTCTAGTCTCAGAGTTTGGGACTTTACCACTGAGCTCCTATAGGGTTCAGACACAAGTAACTGTTTGATCATAATATGGTACCTAATATCACGGGTGTTTACTCTTTTAGCACTAATCGAATCCTACTGATCAAGTGATCACTAGTCTAATTGACTAGACATAGCGTGCACAATATTGTAATTTTAGGTTTTTAGAGGCAATTAGCGAAAAATTCGATTGTCACTTTTTTGTGATCAAAATGCACTGTTGCAAATGAATTAATGTGGACTAACTTTAATAATTATAATGAATAATCGTTAGCAATACTTCAAATATTGTTAACTATTGAAGATATTAATCAGCTGTTTTAATCAAAATTTTCACCTTGACAGAGTGAAGCCCGAGTAAATTACTACCTACAAAGTGAAATACATTATATACCCATGTATATAGGTCACGGGATGAAAACAGTTTACATTTAAAATTAAATATCCATGAATCATTGTTCCAGAACAACAATTTACTGCCAAAATGAAAAAAAACTTTTTAATTTATTCTCTGTACTGAATGGTAGCTGTATTACTAGTAATAAGAATAATGAAATACGTAAACGTTTCAATCACTTGATCAACATAGGAAGAAGATCAAACTTGGATAAATAGACTTTAAAACAATCATCACAAAAATTATTGAAGTTGAGTAATCTAAACTGTGTTAATACTATATAACTCATGACCGGCTATGGATGGGACAGGGGTGCCATGAATTTCTTCTGAACATATGAACTCAGATTATAGGTTCGGATCCTGAGAGCTCCTGCTCTATGAAGCAGACGGGATTGAATCTCATTAGGAAATGACGAAGGTATATGACAGGGTGCTCGACATTATTTGATATTATCCACCATATGACCACAGTCAACAAGATTTACCGAAATAGAGCTATATATTGATACCGTTTCACTTCTAGTCATCTAGTTTAAAGATAACATACTTAAATATTGTTTCTTCTTTGAGATACATATTTTTAGCAAAATACAGTTACTATTCATGTTTGTTGATGAAAATAATAGTAATATACTTATAAGCATGGTCAGATTGACACAAATGGAGCAACAGTTAACCCATGAAAATAAAGATCAGTTTTCTAACTAGTAGTAGTAATGACAATATTGAATAATCATTCAATAATCAAATTTAATAATAAGTCCAAAATAACAGTGAAAATAGAATCGTCATGTCTATGGCAGACTTATTTCGTTTTTTATTTAAAACCTAGATATAAATTGGGAATTATGAGTATACTGCATATATTAACAGTATTTAGTATTCCGTTAACAGTTGGATTCAGACAAGCATTTTACTCTGTTTAGTACTTATCAACTGGATGTACATGTATTTCAGTAATCATGTTTACATTACGACTCGAACCAAGTGTTATTACACTTTAAACACCAACTCGTTTTCCACATACCTAGTGAGTTCTGATAGGGGTGAATTTGATCAGCGGTTATGTCGAAATTAATATGGATTTAAGTATTCCCACAACTGATATTCAACCGTAATAGGACAGGCTGTTACCATTTGTGCATCCTGAATAAAACAGTGGCTATCTTGACTCAGTAGATAAGTGGATAGAATATTAGCGTTTGAAGCAATAAGGTATAAGGTCTGAGTCTTAATGTAAGCATCGATATTGAGGTACACGTTTATCCACCTGACACGTCCCGAATAGGATCAAATGTGGGTCCTAGACTGCAATGCTAGTCAAATATAAAAAATACTGAAGCTTGTAACTAAAGGTTATGAAAAGGCAATTCACTCAGGACGCATATATGCTAACATGAACTGTTTAATTTCAGTTCACATTATACTTGAAGAGCCATAGAATATAACTCTTTCAATGACTTTTTACCTTCATCTATATCCCTATGGAAGATTTTCTTGTCACACATAGCATAAAGCGATTTGCTCTACGAACTAACGTCAGCTAAAAAATTTGAAATCAAGGAATAACTGGAGAGCTTTTTCATTCTATTTTGGCATTAATGAAAGTTACAAAATCAGAATCTCAGGATGAGTAAACTTCAAGACATTCTTGAGTCAGGACTGACTAGTTGTCTCTAAATAATTGGATAGAAGTATGTTGAATATCAATTAATTTGTAATGTAGCATAGCCTTTGTTCATTGTT